CCAATACAAGTTAGTCTATATGTTAAAAGATATGATAATATGGTCGATACAGTTATCGTCGCTCTTTATCTGTTGGATTGTATCTTGGTATAATATGTTATCAATATTAACCATGTTTGTACTAATATCATATAATATCTATTTTAGCTGGCTGTAAGCACTTTAATACAGTTTGTATTTTGTTTTCACTGTTGTTGTAATAGAAAAATAAAAATAAAAAACTATAAATGAAAAAAAAGTATTTCCTTTCAGTCACTTAATTATTCTCCTTTTAAAAACATTTTTATCCAACTGTACTCTCATTGAGATTGCTCATTATTTAAACATTTTCATCAGCTTCTGTCTTCGGCATAATCACACACAATCTTCAGTTCTATTATTATGCATTTTCATATTGCCTTTAATATCCTGCACTGTTTAACTTTTGCCAAAAAGATACCCTAAAAGCCCTCCAAAGAAAGGAGTGACAATCAAAATTCAATTCAAAGAGTTAGTAACAGTAGCAACTCTCTTGCAACGCTATCCATAAACATACACTTAATCTGCAAAGCACGGTCATACGCTTAATCATTCATTGGTGTCACATTTTTATCCTGTGCTTTTCCCAAGGAGCTCAGGGTGGTGTACATCATTTCCCTCACATCTAACCCTCACAACAACCCAGCGAGGTAGGTTAGGCTGAGAGAGGAGAGAGCATGACTGGCTTACAAGTCGAAGAAAACAAAATTTCAACAATGTAAATCACATGAATACAATAACAGAAGGTGGCACCAGTTAACACGTAATTCTTAGAGACCAGTAATTAAATCTCAGATTGCTAACAACAAATTCAGCATTCATGTTGTCCTTGTATATTATAAGGGACAGTTTCAAGATCCACCCTCCAGGGGCTGCAGCCAATCACTGCCAAACCATGGACTAGAATGTTGAAAAAAGAAAAAAGATGCATTTGGCAGTCTGATTACTGGCCAACTGACACAGTTGGCTGCTACTGGATTTTGGCGGGAGAAGGGTTAGAAGTTCTACTGGTTAGGCAAGGAGTCCATTAAGGACTTTGGGCATTATGAAGATAGGCAAGGTTTGGGTGCTGTTCCTGTCAAAAACAGTTAAAAGCTAAAAGTCTATCTGTTCCGTGATATAAGACCACATCAGTCAAAACAAGAAAGCTTCTTTGTGATGGTTATGCTTTCTCAGGCCACAGCTCTCCAGTAACTTTTGTTACTGTAAGTAGAGAGGGCTGAAGAAAAGGAAAACAAAGAAACGACAAAGGCATGCATACTCACTGAAAGAAACCCATTTTTTAGTTGTTCCCATCAAGCCTACTGTACAGTTCCTTCCAGCCTATAATTCCCTCGTAACAGGCCAAGTGAATGGCAGGAGGCACCCTGAGGCCATGTGTTGCCCTTATTGAGGAATAAAAGACTAAGCAGTCCCAAAAGCAGAGTCCACACACACACACACACACATATATATATGGCTTTTTTTGTAGAAAAAGCCCAGCAGGAACTCATTTGCATAATAGGCCACACCCAACAGCAGAAACTCATTAGCATATTGGGCCACACCCCAACAGCACAGCTTGTTAGCATATTAGGCCACACCCCCATGCCTTCCCTTGAAGGGAAGGGAAGGCAGCTTAAACTGTCTTCCCTTGGCTTGCCTGAGTGCCCCAAAGCTGCAGGGCGCCCAGGATAGTTGGCCCTTGGACAGGCCAGGGAAGGCATGGGGAGGCATTTAAATGCCTCCCCAATCCTTCCAGGCCCCCCCCCCCCGGCCCCCCCCCCCCGGCCCGCCCGCCTCGGAGTTGCCGGGGGTGTGTGTCGCTCTCCAGGCCTTTCCTCTATAGCCACGCATGCAGAGGTTTTGGCTGTAGTGAGTGTGGCCAACTCTGAAGCCAGCCGGAACTCCATTCCTGCCCAGAACCAGCCCTGTATATATATGTGTGTGTGTGTGCATATATGCATATATACACACACACACATAAACTTGCAAAGCATGCACAAAAATAAACTATCTGCAAAGATTTCCCTTTAAATGAAGTTTATTTCTTTCGTAGGAATCTTGCCGGGAGGAGTAAGATCCTTAAAGTGAGTGCATTCCTTACAGTGCATTCCTATGCAGGGTTGCTCCAGTCAATGTGCACTTAAATTAATGGGCTTAGACTAATTCCGCATAGAATTGCGCTATCAGAAAGAGTTCCCCCGTTCTAGACTCTTTTTGCCTTGTCAAGCCAGTCACATGCTTATTTGCATGGAAGTAAACTGAGTCCAGTAGGTTTTGTTCTCTTAACAAAGCTTATTCTATTACAATTATAAAAGAAATTAAGTACACAATTGAGAGACGAGCCTGAGTACCTAGGGGCTGGTTGTGGCTAGAGGAGGCTGGAAGGGTTGGCAGACACCACACTGGTTTCCCCTTAACAGAATACAGCATGACGGCACACAAGCCTACTGAATCAACGTCAGAGATTCTTTGTAAATTCACTTATATGTTATCCGTTAAGAAATGGATTACTGTGCAAGCGGGGCAGATCTACTATGAAACGAATGAAACTGAAGCTTCAGGGCCCCTAATCCTGGAGGGGCCCAGAAGCAACTTTTTTTATAATGAGTGGATTTTTCAACAAAACTGATGGAGTTTTTTAAGTGTTTGTTATTAAAATAAGACTATTTTGGTGACAGAACCATAAGCCAATGGATTGAAGTACTTAATATTGACTTTAGAATATCCTCTAAATTAAATATGCTCTAATTAAACTAAATATGCTCTAAATTGAAGAAGATAACAGCAGTTACTCAGATCTCATTGCCCACTGTACAGCCCATTTTCAAGAGCTCCACCCCACCACCCCGTTCTCTCCCCGTGGACCTTGTCGGATGTTGTCCTATTGTTGCTGGTTAAGAAGCCCCCCCCCACAGTTCAACCTTCAGGGTCCCAAAAATGTAGGGCCGCCACGCTGTGCAAGGGACAAGGATGGGGACAAAATCAGAGCTAATTCATTATGTCTCTGCCCAACATTTACTGCCCTCTGCCCTATCAGTCCTGTTGGGCACCAGCCACCACACTGCAACCAAGCATTGTGAATTTCAGACTTTGGGTGGTGTTGTGTATGTTCAGGGTTCCACACTACCAACTCCCCCACTACCTGCCCTTTTTGAGAGTAGTAGTCAGGCCATCAGAGAAAGTTTGAAACTGATGGACCTCCTGATGGCAGCTGGTATTTTTGGCCAGTGTGGCAGAGGGTTGGACTGGATGGGTCCACTGGCCTGATCCAACATTGGCTTCTCTTATGTTCTTACGTTAGAAGCAGTTAAGATCCTTCAAGTCATCAGTGTTAATATTAAGCAGCTTGTGTTAATTCAAGTCATCAGTGTTAATATTAAGCAGCTTGTGTTAATGTTCCTGGATGTCTGGCGGTAAGTAGACTTTAAAAATAAAAACATAATCATTTGGTTTAATGTTAATCTCATTGAAAGCACAAAAAGTGCAATTGTAAAAAAAGGGTCACACCTGACGTAATTTAATTTTGTGTTTTAAATAAAGTACTAAATTAAATACTTATGTAAGTGTTAGTTGAATCTGTCTGCAGCTCTCATGATTAAAACAAACACTGGCTGCGATCCCACACAATAAATAATCCACCTTCAATCCACTTTGAGTGCACTTTCCAACTGGATTTTACTGTGTGTGAACTGGCAAAATCCAATTTGAAAGGGCACGGAAAGTGGATTATTTAGTGTGTGTGATCGCAGCCACTGTGTTGTTATTCTTGTTTCTTGTTATTTACGAATTTACCTTTTTATCAAAATAACTACTATGACAGTATAGGGGGGTTACGGCTCTGCCCCAAATCCTCAATTATAAAACAAAAAGTATAGAGGGGAAAATTTCACACCCTACAAACTTCTTTCTGTTTAAGTCCCCCCTTTCTAGATCTGGAGACAGGCGTCATCACATACCATTACCCATATATGCACTGACTTGTACTGATCCCATATACCAGTTGGCTTCTCAGACTGGCAGTATGAGCTGGTTCAAAGGGACTCTAGTCCGTTGGCCGTGTCCTTTCAGGAAGCAGACAGAAACATCACCTTTCGTCTGCTATGGGAAGGGGAACTCACTTCTGGATGAGCAGCAACTGGACTAAAGTGTCTGACTGCTTTGCCACATTTATTCTCCCCTCTCAGGCAGCATCCTGAACCCTCCTCTCCCCTGTACAAATCAAGGCGGCAGTGTTGGTGGTGGGGGGCACTGAAGCAGAAGAAAGAGAGGCAAGGACTATGGGAAAGTAAACCCGTGAATCTGACTCGTACTGAATCTAACCACTGGTCTATCAAGATCAGCACCATCTGCTCAGACTGACAATGGCTCTCCAAAGTCTCCAGTTAGAGGTCTTCCATATCACTGACAATCTGATCCTTTTCACCGGAGGTGCCAGTGACTCCAGCTGGGACATTCTGTATCCCAAGCAGACGCTCTACCACAGAGCCCTCCCTGTAAACACTCTCATACTTCCTGGACCCTTTATTAGTGTTTAACAAATGTTCATCAGGATTAAAGTATTTGAATGATTAAGATGTTGTGACACGGACAACCTTGAAAGTGAGCTGAACAATAAGACTGCAGGGGTAAGAGAGACCAATGGAAGTCATAGGCTTTCTAGAAATAATACACACTACCTGCTTTGATGCACCACAGACTCTCTTAAACAATGGAGACTAAAATGTTGTTACCATTGCAACTTTAGTTGTTACCATTATAACTTGAGTACTATTGTTCCCCCCAGCCCCAAGAAAGGTGTAACCTTGAAAATGGAAAATAAAATCCAGCAGAAGTCAAGCTATTCAGCAGTGATAGAATGCCAAACTAGGTAAAGAAGCATACACGGAAGGCCTTTTTTCAAATAAAGAAAGCGGGGATGGAATCAGAAGCTTGCCAACTTCCAATTTAAAAAACAAACCACCAACAACAACAACAAAAAACTCTTTAAGCTACTGTACCTTTTATTTTTTGAAGGATCTTTCTCATCCGTTTTTTCATTTTCATTACTGGGAAGCCTGGCTAACCTTTCTCCCGTCTGAAGATTTAACTGCACATGTAATCCTGCAGGAAGAGCCTGACCTGCAAGCAACATGAGAATTTTATGACGCGTTTACAGTGCAATCCTAAACAGAGTTATACCCCAGGTCCACTGACTTCATACGGTATAACTCTGTTTAGGATTACACTGCTGTTCTCAGGATTTGAATTGTTGGTATATACTTAAGCCACAGAAGGGGTCACGGTTCAATGAGATACAACCAAGAAACTATGGTGCTGTACACTAATAAAAACTGGTTTTATAAAAACACTAAAGTACATTGTTTTCATTCAAATTTCAACACATTATTATACAATACACTATCAGAGAAACACTCTTATCACAATATTTTCTGAGAATCCTATAATGTGGGAAAATCAGTTTCTGTATGTCTTTTACAAAATTCCAAAATTCTACAGCATTATATTTAATAATACAATCCAAATAGTATGGCTTGTGTAGAAGATAAAACATAAGCTAAAGAAGCACAACTGTATAGTCATTTAAAGTCCAAAATGTCCCAGTGGGAAAGAACACAGTCCTGAATTCCGATGACTAGATCAGTAGACAAAGACTCCAGATTTGTTCGCTTCCTATCATACTGTCTTCCTCAGATCATGGACTGATATAAAATAACCATCATTTACAAAAAATAGTCACAATACAACCTCAGTAGTGCCATGTCATAACTGGATCAAAAAAGAATTAAAGACGAACACACCTGCTACTAAGGCTATCCATTGTATCTGTTGGACACCGCAATTATTCATTTTTGTTCTTATAACCCAATTTTCCAAAGTTTATACTAAAGAGAAAATCAATCTCATTTTAGTACTTTTATCAATTCATGTTGTTGTTCAGTCGCACAGTCGAGTCCGACTCTTCGCGACCCCTTGGACAAGATCTCGCCAGGCCCTCCTGTTTTTATCAATTCATAGTGCTACACATATCTCAACTAAAACTTCCAAATATAATAGTATATTGTTTAATAGTGTGTTGAAATTTGAATGAAAACAATACACTCTAGTGTTTAAAAAACAGTTTATATTAGTGTACTGGGTCATATTGGCACGGTTTCTATAGTTTCTTGGTATATATTTAAGTACATGGATTTTTATATCAATTTTACAAAACTTACAGCCCAATCCTATGCATGTTCACTCAGAAGTAACCCTCTTGTATTCAGCAGAACCTGCTCCTAAATAAAATTAAGTGTAGAAGTGCTTGACATATTTAATAGACATATTTACATAATTAAAGCTCTTCTGTGTAACTTGTCAGGCAAAGAGCTTGTTTCGTGGTGTGCTTTTAAAAGAGACTATAAAGTGCTTCATATTTTTATATCTTTTCCATTATATCTTATTTTCTTTCACTTTACTTATGTGCATAAATTTGTTTGCTGCAGTCTTTAAATTCAACAATTAACTTTTGCAGCCAGTTTTAACGGCATGAGCTCTAGACTAGCTGTAGCACGAATGAAAGGAGCAGTGACAGCACGCCTAGTAGGGATGTGCATTCGGTTCATCCGAACCGAATGCACCCCCCAAAATGGCCCATTCGGACCCCTTTCGGGCTGCTGAAGGCCGATTCAGATTCTCTGATCTGAATCAGCTTGCCACCGAATTCGGCCCCATTATATCCTATGGGCCACTGAAGTCAATGGCGAAAACATAGGGTAGATTCTGGGGGCTGGAGGGGAGGGGGTTTGAGGGAGAGGCTCCAAACTCACAGGCTGCTGGAGCCTCTCCCCAAGAACTTTATTCCCACTATAGAGAACAATGGAGGGGATAGGGGCATCCTATTTGAGGACCCGTAGAATTGGACTCCCTGGTCCAATGCTCTTGAAACATGGTTGGTATCTTGGGGAGAGGCTCCAGCAGCTACCCTGCGAGTTTGGAGTCTCTCCCTCAAGCCCCCTCCCCTCCAGCCCCCAGAATATACCCTATGTTTTTGCCATTGACTTCAATGGCCCATAGGATATAATGGGGCTGAAATTGACATTTGGCTGGCGGAAAGACTCCCCAATGGGCTCCTACTGAGGAAACTGACATGCGGGAGTCTTACTGCCAGCTGAAATTGATTCTGCCCGATTCGGCCAAATCCGAATGGGGCGAATTATTTTTTTTAGCACACCCCTAACGTCTAGGTTGCTTTGCCATTCCTTAGGGCTTCATGAGGCTGCTTTTCTTAGTGATGGAGCTCAACCCAGCTCTGGCAAAATTCAAAATGACGTCTATTGCGTGCTTTCTTCTGGAAACTCTTCTCTGTACCGTGAGCCAGTGACCCCATCAATCTGAAGAGAGATTTGTACTTTCAAGGACTATTAGGTCACTATTCAACTGGTGCAGGTGTCATTTATGCATGGTGGCGAAACCATTTGTTATGTGTATCATTTTTGGTTGTAAGTAGAACTATATAAGAAGACAGTGGTCTCTAGTGTGATTTGTACAGCGTGACAGATTATTCTGGTTATTTGCACAACTTTTAACTTACCCAGCCGGACTGTTTGCCACTGATGGGTTGGATAAAACACTTCCAAGTCTTCAGGATCAAGCTCTTCCTCTTCATCCTCCACTGTCACTGCCTCTTTCTTGTTCTGTTCTTTCAAATCGCTCTCTTCTTTTTTTGTGAGAGCAAACTCCTTGGTAAATTAAAAAAAACAAACAGCTTTTGTTTTGCAAATGCATACAGGTTATTTGTTAATGGAAAAAATTCCACATGCCCTGACCTGGACAGCCCAAGCAAGCCCGATCTCGTCAGACCTCGGAAGCTAAGCAGGAACCTGGCAAATACTTGGATGGGAGACCTCCAAGGAATACCAGGGCCATGACACAGAGGCTGGCAATATCAAGCCCCCTCTCTGAAATGTCCAAGCCCCACTAGAGGTCGCCAGAAGTCACCCTGACTTCCAGGCTCACGAGCTCATATACCCACACACTCACAAAAGATACTCACCAACCGCCGCTGCCCCCAAAAAGTACAAACTTTTATACCAATGAGAAAGCCTTTTAAATACCCCTGATTAAATACATAGGGTTGGATCTCGTGATCTGCCAGAGGAAGGAACGGAGGCCTGTGGATCTCCCCTCGCCCTCCCTTCTACTTACAGTGGTTTCTGATTCCAGGAAAGTTGATTCTCAGAGCTGTGGGATCTGCATGAAGTGACAGATCCGTGGGAGGCAGTGAAAAGGGTGAAGGAGACAATATCGCATTCCTACATCTTCTGTCAGCCGAGCCCCACTGATGTAAGAGGAAGAAGGAAGTTCTTACACCCCCTTCCCGCTCCTTACACAGCCCATTGACCTATGTGGGTATTCCTTAGGACCAGTGTTCCCTCTAAGCTGAGTTAGTGTGAGCTAGTTCACGGTTTTTTAGCCTCCGGCTCACACATTTTTGTCTTTGCTCAGGAAGGGGTGGCTCCAGAGCAAACAAATTTATGCAGTGGCCAAATCACTCGCTCACAACTTTAATGCTAGTAGCTCACAAAGTAGAATTTTTGCTCACAGAACTGCACATCTTAGAAGGAACATTGCTAGGACTGCCTGGAGATTTGGGGGCAGGGCCTGGTGAGGGCGGAGTCTGGGAAGGGGAGGGAGCTCAAGGTGGGATGGGATGCCATTTTCTCAGTCCCATTCCAGAGTGTTGGGAAAGGGCCCATACAGCTTGAAATGGAATTAGAAAAACACCTCAGAGGGCCTCTAGGCTTCGGCATACCATCCTCAGGAGAGTGCCAGGTTTACCAGTCACAGAAGGTGGCCGTCTCCACATGAATCAAGCCCCTTTTAATCACATTGTCCTTCTTGCCCGACACTGTGGGTTTGTCAGGGGCTCCATGCCAAGCTTAAAGGTCTCTTGACTCTACTGCACGCCTGATAACAGGATTCGAGAGCTCACCGGGCCTAGTGTCTGCCTGCAGCCTGCACCCTGCTTGACTTGAATGAGACCTGTGCTATCTCTATCCACCCCGGTTCACATCACAGAGGCTGAGGGTGATGGTAGACACAGACCGATTCCCCACAAGCAGCTGTGCCGCCCTCACTCTTCCGTTTTCCCCCACTTGCATTGGTCAATTTCACACTATTCGCTGCGCGGCCACAATTTTGACCCGCAGCTCCCCCCAATTTCCCCCGCGTCTTCTTGATCCTTGTTTTTTGAGATCGAGAAGATGCTGGGGGAATCCGGGGGGGGGGGGGAGCTGCGGGTCAAAATTGTGGCTGCGCAGCAAATAGTGTGAAATGGGCCACACTCTTATTTCAAGTGAGGAGGAGAAGCGCAGGCCAGAAAAAGGCACTGGACACTTCTACACATGTGCTGAGTCACATGAACACATGAAGCTGCTTTACACTGAACCAGACCTTTGGTCCATCAAGATCAGTATTGTCTACTCAGGCCGGCTGCAGCTCTCTGGGGTCTTAGACAGAGTTCTTTTACACCACCTACGACCTGATCCCTTTAACCGGCGTCCAAGGGCCACGTGAACTGGAATCCAGAAGCCCAGATGTTAGAAACCCGAACAGAGACTCCGCATTTAGCCACCTAAAATTCTTTTCATACAACAATCTGCAGACCCTAAAAGCATTTTTTTTTAATGGGAGAGGTTAAAAGGAAACCCTTGCCCAGCCCCCAGCACACTCATGATAATGTGTCACTGGTACCTCTCGTCTCCTGCTTCTAAACCAATCCATACAAATTTGGTTACTTTTCATACACTTGCTAAAGTATACTAGCAATCCTGCCAACCTAGCAGTTCGAAAGCAAGAAATTGCAAGTAGATAAATAGGTACCCCTTCGGTGGGAAGGTAACAGCGTTCCGTGCACCTTGGTGTTTAGTCATGCCGGCCACATGACCACGGAAACGTCTTCGGACAGCGCTGGCTCTTCGGCTTGGAAGCGGAGATGAGCACCGCAACCCTATAGTCGGACTCGACTGGCTTTCGAGCAAGGGAACCTTTACCTAAAGTATACATATGTATACTTTACATACATATACATACATTAGAACCAGACAACTGGGATATCTGTCCATCACAAACAAGACTTGCTAGGAAAGGGACGGAAGAGGCTTGTCTCTAATCTGATGCAGAAATGCTTTCCCAATTTTTTTCCTTCAGTCCCATATTTATTTATTATTTATTAGATTAGATTTTTTTTCAAACACCCTTCCCTGCTTGTGTGGGGCTCAGGGCAGTTCACAACAATTTGACTAAATACAGAGTAAACACAATACTTAAAACATTCAGAACATTTAAACATCTTAAAAACAAAATGGCACTGCTAACATTCAGGCATGGGAGGGGAGGGGGAGGGTGTCGGGCAGATGTAGGGAACCGCTGCTGGCCTCAGTCAAAGGCCTGGCGGAACATCTCTGCCTTACATGCCCTGCGAAACTTTAATAGATCAGACAGGGCATGGGTGTCACTCAGCAGAGAGTTCCACCAGACTGGGGCCAGGGCGGAAAAGGCCTTTTCTGCCCTGGCCGAGGCCATCTGGATATCTTTTGGGCCGGGAACCACCAGAAGGTTCTTATCTGCTGATCTTAATGCCCTTTGGGGGGACATACTGGGAGAGACGGTCTCTAAGGTACTGTATTCAAGCTGTATACAGGAATGTCCTCCTTTGCAGGTAAACACACAACTGAGAACCAGTGGAAGGAAAAGCCACATGTGTGGGGGAGATTTGGAACAGTGAAATAAGATGAAGAAAAGGAACAAGCATTACCCAATAGCAATAACACGGTACATGTAGTAAAACCGTAGACTGTCTTAGAACTTCACCCCCTTTTCTTTCACTTCTTTAATAAGCTGACAGCTGTTTTAAATGTAAAAGGGTTTTTCCTTTCCCATGTTTACTAAAGTTTCCAAATATGTGGGGGGGGGGGGAGTAGTGTAATCAACTTAATCACTGAAACAATTTTTCCCCCATGGGGACAGCTGCAGTTAAAGCTTTCCCCAATGATCCAGAAATTAAGCAAGCTGTGCTAAAACTCGTGGTTAACTTCTGGAGGAAGAAAATTGAGAGCAAACCTATCCTGCCAGTTTGAAATCATGCTGATGGTTGAACTTTCTCTGGTATAACCTCCTCCAGTATGCAATCATTAAGGACACTCACTGTGACTCTGTCGCTTAAGCATGAAGGGAAGCTTATTACAGAAAGCAGCAAGACCACCAAGTTGAGCTTGGACACAATGGACACGAAACAGATGCTCGGAGACATCGCAACCTGAAATATGAGATTTGGTTAATCACACGGCTGCCCCCGCATTCTGCCATTTTACTAGCTAGCAATGATTCACAGAACCTAAAAATTCTACTATGCGGTAAATACAAACTCTCTGAAATTGTTATCTGAAGGCTGCATTCTCCAAGGCAATTAAAAGTGAGTAAATCTCATGGAAATAAATTGTAAACATGCATTTAGCATTACAGAATGCAATTCGAACCTCTCCAGTCAAAGGCAAACCCACTATGGATTCTATGGGACTGAAACTACAGCCAAATAACACATTTATGCAATCAGGGCATAGATTTAGTATGCAGTGCAAGGTATCACTGTGTACGTATCTATCAACCACATTTTTCCCCTGTTCTTCTTCCAAGCAGCTCAGGGCAGTTTACAGCGATCCCCCTTCCTCCATTTTGACCATGCAAGGTAGGTTAGACCAAGGGAAGGTGACCAGCTCACATGATCAACCACACTGGCTTTCCTGTGTACTTATGGTACAACATACGCTGACCCAATGAGTGGTTTCATGTATTTGATTCCTTGTTCGTCTGGAAAGCAGCACATTATTTCACATTGTTCGTCTGTTTGCGTGTGTTTGGGGGGGGGGGATGTTTCTGTTGTTTGTTACGGAAGTGGGTGTTCCCTGCTTAACCATGCTTCTTCTCTGGATAACAACATGTGAACAATCTCTCTCCCTTGAGACTCTGGCCAGTGGTATAATGACTCTCCACTATCGCTGCCTGCCACACACAAGTAGTGCTCTCTCAAGAGGTCTTTCCTTTACATACTGATATCAGTCCTCAGATTTTCTATGCCTGCCCACCTTCTGAAAGGTAATAGAGAGTTGAGGTAGGTCTTGTTTAGCCTGGACAGCTGGACTTGGCCTGGGATTCTTGGTTTGCCACACAAGACGGTAAAAAGCGTCTTAAAATAAAAAAGCCACAACTAAGAATAATGCATGGCCCTGAGCTGGATGTCCTAGGCTAGCCCAAATTTCTCGATCCTCGGAAACTAAGCAAAGTTGGCCTTCGTTAGTACTTGGATGGGAGACCTCCAAGGAAGCCCAGGGCTGTGATGCGGAAACAGACGGTGGCAAACCATCTCTGAACACCTCTTGCCTTGAAAACCCTCCAAATCAGAGGTGTCATTTGTTACAAGGGCTGGATCTGACATAAATGTCACTTTGTCAGGCCAGACCAGGTGTGCCATAAAATGTAACACGTGGTACCAGAGATATAAACTTTAGAAAGATGATTTCAGACGCCAAATGGCAATAGCAGGCTTGACTGGATTAGGTGTGATATGCAGAAGGGTAGTAGGCATGGCGATATCAGCATTGGTAATGAGACAGGAAACCTAGGCCTCAATTTCACCCAGGAGGATTCAGTCCAGGAGGATGCAAACAATAAATGGACATACATGGCTCATAGGTTTCCCTTGCTTGAAAGCCAGTCGAATCCGACTCTAGGGATGCAGTGCTCATCTCCGTTTCCAAGCCGAAGAGCCAGCACTGTCCAAAGATGTTTCTGTGGTCATGTGGCCGGCATAACTAGACACCGAGGCTCAAGGAATGCTGTTACCTTCCCGCCTATTTATCTACTTGCAATTTCTTGCTTTCAAACTGCTAGGTTGGCAGGAGCTGGGGCCAGAGACGGGAGCTCACTCTGTCATGCGGCACTCGGGTCTCAAACTGCTGAACTACCAACCTTCCGGTCTGCCACAAATTTTGTTAGTCTTCAAGGTGCTACTGGACTCTTACTCTTTCTACAGCTATAAGAAACCACATTCAAAAAACAGTGGGGGGACATTTTAACCTTCCAGGACATTCAGTTGCTGACCTAAGAGTAGCAGTTCTCTTACAAAGGAATTTCAAAGGGAGATTAGAAAGAGAGACTGCTGAATTGCAACTGATAATTGAGCTTCATTGATCCTCCTGGGCTGAATTGAAACCTAGGTTTCTTCTCTCATTACTAATGGCTGCTGTTGTTATTTGGGATCTGAAATCACTTCACTCTCTCTCCAAGATATAAGGACAGATGGACTCACATTCTAGTTGAACCCCAGAAGTGAGCAGTGACTCATGAAAGCTTGGCCTGTAGCTAATGTGGGGCCCATGGGGCCTGGCCCCCTAGTGTTTCTTCTGGGCTCCCTCCCTCCTGGGCTGCCCCCAAAGTGCCCCAACTTACCACCTGCACTGTGCTTTGATTTAATTAGCTGGCGGGCCCCCCAAGGCCCCCTCCCCCCAAATTCCCTAGCTAAGGGGCTGAGAAAGCTAATGCCCTGAACAAATTTTATTAGTCATTAAGGTACTTCTGGACTCTTGCTCCCTTCCACTAATAAAGACTGCAAACTGCACTGTTGTCCCCCCCCCGATCTATTAGAACTGGAAAGGGGGATCTCTCCATGTGAAATAATGTGCTGCTTTCAGACTGGACAAAATCCACTCACTGCTAGTGATAACAAAAAGTTTAAAAAGCTGGGGGGTGGTTTACTGTGAAGAAAGGCAATCAGTGATGTGGGAGGGGAGAGAGGGAGACCATGTGTTGAACTGGATTATATAGAGCCATAAACGTAATTTTAAATACTTAGCCTTCTACTTCCAGTCATTCAACCATGGAATCCAATCCAGGTGTTGTAATTCCTAATCAGGGTCTTTTTGAAAGAAAATAAAATCATACCCGTCCCCCCTATGATGCTGCTGGGAATGACATATCCTGGAGCCAAGTGCCTGAGATGGCCCCTCTTTGGGGTGTTCCCACCAGAGGTGGTAGGGGAGAAGAAAACAGCAATGGGGCAGCTAGGCAGTTGCAGCGGATTATATGCACTGGATTCACTCAGTGGAATACCGAGTCAGGTCCAAGGTCTTGGTATTAACTGTTAAGTCCTTGAGCAGTCTGGAACCACCGTATCTATGGGACCATCTCCTTCATTATGTCCCAGGGAGAGCGTTACACTCCACAGATAGCAACTTACTGGTGATCCGTAGCCCTAAAGACCAGGGCCAGGGCCTTTTCAGTCCTGGCCCCAACCTGGTGGAACTCTCTGCCTAATACGGTTAGAGCCCTGCAGAACCGCATGCAGTTCTGCAGGGCCTGCAAGGCAGAGATGTTCTGCCAGGCTTTTGATTAGGGACAGCGACGGTTTTCCAACACGGCTGGCACCCACGCCCATCCCCCCTCCTAAAGAAAGCAAAAAATGAATTTAAGAAGTGACCTAAACCATCCAGAACCCCACATTATCAATTGTATAACTGTTAGTGATGCCATCTTGAATTTGTGTTAAATAGGTTTTTAATGTTATTAATTTTATTATATTTAATGTTTGTATGCCATACTGGTACACCACCCAGAGCTCGGTGCAAGTCAGGATAGGGCAAATTATTATTATTATTATTATTATTATTATTATTAATAATAATAATAATAATAATAATAATATGCTACAGTCATCCGCTATACATTAAAAGGAAAAAAAGCTCAAACCACATTCACAGCACCGTGAGCCTTTTAAGGGATGCCAGCACACTTCCAGGCAAACTGCCCCATCAGAATAAAAGCCCCAGGAAGCTCCATGGCACGCAGGGGTTTGAGCCCAACACTAACCACTACACTGGCTTTGGTTATGTGGGTAAAAGCAGAGAAGCGACCGACGCTCACCATGGCTACTTTGTCCCTTTAGCCCCTCTTACCAAATGCATTTCTCCTAGGATGCCCTGCAGCTCCCTGGGGTCAGTCATTGTCTCTCAGCCTCACCTACCTCACAGGGTGGTTGTGAAGAAAAAATGGGCGCTGCAGGCAATGCTCCCTCTAAGCTGTGGAGCCTTGTGAGAAAAAATTCTGCTTTGTGAGCTACTGGCATTAAAGTTGTGAGCGAGTGATTTGGCTTCTGCATAAAGTAGTTTGCCCCGGAGGCATCCTTCCTGAGCCAAGGCAAAAATGTGTGAGCCAGAGGCTAAAAGCCTGTGAGCTAGCTCACACTAACTCAGCTTAGAGGGAATGCTGGCTGCAGGCACACTACCCTGAATTTAATGGAGGATCAAAACACACTAAGTAAAGTTTAATGTTAAACTCAATCACTCACACACAACCCTTACACCCTAATTCTTGTAAAGGGGGGAGGGCAGGGGTTCACCCTGTGTCTGGACTGTAGTATCTACAGACCAGGAATAGGGTCAGCCCATGCTCGGACTGTACCACGCAACTGAAAGCCCCACCATACAAAGCTAAATTGGTACAATTGCTAAAGCCCTCAGTTCAAATCCCCACGGCACCATGAAGCTCACTGGGTGCCTTGAAGACTAGTCTGTGTCTCTTATTTCTCCACCTACCCTACCTCACAGGGTTGTTGTGAGGGCAAAAATGGAGAGAGATCACCCTAAGCTCCTGAGAAAGAGAAAAAAAATAGAATAGAAACATACTAAATAAATCAAAGCAACAACCATACATATAGAGGGTGGGCAGTAAATTAGCATACAGAATAATGAACATGTTTCTAACAGATTAAAAGAGGAACAAGCTTAGTTTATATGACTATCATCTAGGGGGAAAGACAGGTTGTTATAAATCATGAGCGCAGTAGGACCTTAAACGTCAACAAAGTTTATTCCAGCATAAACTGTAACCATATTTGTCTTTGAGGTGCTGACTCGTAATTTATTCCGCGGCTACAGACTAACAAAACTACCTAGTTTGGATAATTAACTCGGTTATTCCGATTCCTTTGCCGGACCCGTGCAAATAACTTCCTTCCTGAATAAGGAGCGCATCCTTCGCCCTCCTCCTGACAGCCCGCAATAGCAGAGGTCGGCCCACCACCTCACCCCGGGGCAGTAGCAGCCCCTGTCTGCCTTCCCACAGCGATCCTAGCCCAAGGGCCACGAAAGGCGACAGAAGGATGAGTAGGCAAACAAACCCCCCAACAAACCAACGGGGGTGGGGGGGAAACTGCAAGGTGCTGCCTACAAACCAGCGGCAGCCAAGACCCCGCACCGCCCTCCGCCACTCCTACCTCAATGCTGGCGTCTCCGAGCAAAAAGAGCCACAGTCAACCAGGAGGCGCGCTGGACCAATCAGGCGCGGCCGCGTCACACCCTTCCCCCCAACTTCTTCCAGAGAAGCGAGGAGCGCTGGCTCCTCCCACTCATTCGCAACCACGCCCCCTCTGCTTTTTATTGCTGCGCCAAAAGACACCCCCCACCCCCCCCAAGGCCCGGCAGTGGTGTCTTTGGGCGTTTTGGTCGCCTTTGCTGGTACTCGGGAGTGCTTGCCGGCGGGAGGCGTAGTGCCGACGAGAAGTCGCCCAGCGGTACTGTTTTGCCAGTTACAAAGCAGGTCCTTTAGTCTCCTCAGGTAGGGGGAATCAAAGACAATAAGGAGCTACAATAAGGAGCTACTGTTTGCTCTATGGCAGTAGAAAAGAGCACAAGAGTCCAGTAGCACCTTAATGACTAACCAAATATGTGGCAGGGGAGCAGGGGTCCTTTCGTAGAAAAATAGGTGCAGGAGCTCATTAGCATAACTCATTAGCATAACTTATTTGCATGTGCCACACACCCCTGACATCACCGGAAGTGTGTCAGAAGACAACACCCACCGCTCAGGTTCCACTGGACTTTTGGATAGCTAGCTATTGGGAGGGGGGGATGTGCAGATCTGTCCTCGCAGAGGAGGGAGCGCTTGTGCCTGAATAAAACTTGGTCTTAAAGGTGCCACTGGACTGTTTTGGGCCGGTGGACCGGGCTGCTTACCTGGCTGCTTCTTGCTCTGACTGAGGGCTGCTGGGAGCAGGGGGCGGGGCTTGTTGCATATGCCCACCCCCTGGGCTCCTTACTGCAGGAGCTCCACTCCGGCAGGAAATGAACCCTGCAGGGGAAGAGCTTTCGTGAGTCGCAGCTCGCTTCTTCAGAACCTGAAAGATGGTACTGGTGGACTCTTGCTCTTTTCTGCTGCTACAGACAGACTAACACATAAGACGCCAATGTTGGATCAGGCCAAAGGCCCATCCAGTCCAACAATCTGTATCACACAGTAGCCAGAAATACCAGGTGCCATCAGGAGGTCCACCATTAGAAGCCCTCCCACTGTTGACCCCCCCCCAAGCACCAAGAAGACAGAGTCTTGGTGAAGAAGTGCTTCCCTTTATCCGTTCTAACCCGACCACTCAGCAATTTCAGGGAGTGCCCACAAGTTCTTGTATTGTGAGAAAGGGAGAAAAGTACCTCTTTCTCTACCTCTTTCCCATGCATAATCTTATAAACCTCAATCATGTCACCCCTCAGTCGTCGTTTCTCCAAGCTAAAGAGCCCTAAGCGCTTTAAACTTTCCTCATAGGGAAAGTGTTCCAACCCTTTTATCATTCCAGTTGCCCTTTTCTGCACTTTTTCCAAAGCTATAATATCCTTTTTAAGGTGTGGTGACCAGAACTGCACACAGTATTCCAAATGAGGTCGCACCATTGATTTATATAGGGGCATTATGATATTGGCTGATCTGTTTTCAATACTCTTCCTAATAATCCCCAGCATAGCATTGGCCTTCTTTATTGCAATCACACACTGTCTGGACATTTTCAGTGAGTTATCTACTACAACTCCAAGATCTCTCTCTTGATCAGTCTCTGCCAGTTCAGACCCCATCAATGTGTATTTATATTTAGGATTTTTGGCACCAATGTGCATCACCTTGCACTTGGCCACATTGAACCCCATTTGCCATGTTGACGCCCACTTGCCCATCTTTGACAGATCCCTTTGGATTATTACTATTACAGCATAAGTTTTCGGACAAATTTAGAGTCCAGTGGCACCTTTAAGACCAACAAAGGTTTATTCAAGGTCTGAGGTTTCGTGTGTAAGGCAGTTTTTCAAGTTTTCGTGCCCTAAAAGCCAGCTTGCGGAGGTGGTGGTGAGCTAAATCTCTAAGGTGCCACTAGATTCCTCTTTAATTTCGATGCAACGGACTAACGGTGTGATCTTATGCAGAGTTAGTGTAGTCTAAACCTGTTTTATTTCGAAGGGCTTCAAAATAGGGTTGGCGTTATAATACCATTACTTCCTTCGGTGACATTTATCCAACCAGGATTCTGTCCGAAACCAAACCTAAAAAGGGTTACTCAGAAGGGAGTTGCATTTTTATGTAATCGGGCTTACTCCCAAGAAAGTTGCTAGGATTGCACTGACAAATCTGTAGGAGCAGAATGACACAGAAGCGCAGGAGTTCCTGTAAAAATACATTTTGTTAGTCTGGGCTCGTTTCATTTTCATCGTATTTACTAACCAGATTTGATTCGGTTCCCGCGTAACCTTGTATGGACGAGACAGAGCCTGCTTCTGCAGATGCAGTGTGTGTCACTCCTCACTTAGCAGGGGTCTTATGTGGAATGTATTATATGAATAACAGACTCAAAGAATCATCAGCATCGCACAGTCACGTTTCCTTTTGTGCTTCCTGCATTTCATGCCCCGTTGACCCTGCCTTTCCCCTTATTGCATAATATGCCACTCCTCCCATCTAAAGGAGGTTCTAGGCAGCCAAATTTTATGCGGGAACAAAATGTCGATCGTCTTTGAAGCGCTCCAAGGTTCCCACTTGCTATTCCCCCAGTTAAAATGCACGGAAGATCGCATCCTCTGTCAAGTAAAGGGACCAGACGCCAAGCAAACTGGACTGAGGCATTTATTTCTAGAATAGAGTTAAGAGTCCGATGGCATCTTTAAGACCAACAAAGTTTAATTCAAGATGTGAGCTTTCGTGTGCAAAGCATTTATTTCTAAGTCAACATTGCGAGGTTTACAGGCCAACAGCTGTCGAAACCCAAACGATATACTGTTGTGCTTTAGTTCCGTTTTTTAAAAACACCCGGTGAGGAGAAGCGAAGAAACACCACAGGCATCTCAAACAAAGAACCATCGAGAACTTAGGAATTCCTCTGAAGTGCAACCCGGAAACTGCCGCTCTCCCTCCGCTTCGGAGGCAATTTATCGCGATAGTTGGAAGGGGGGGGGAGCAGCTACTTCAAGGGTACGTTCTCGCGCGAGGAAGTCGTCACGCGCTGGGCGGAAGACGCATGCGTGAGGTGGATTAGCGGTCTAGAAGGGGAGCTGTGTGGAACGGAGTTCTACGCAGTTCTTTTTCTTCGCGGCGCGCGGACATTGGCCGTTTGTGGTGGGGTGGAGTGAAAGCGTAAGGCTCAGTTGCCGACTGAGGTAAGAACGGCGGGCGCGGATTGTGCTTATCAACGCAGGGTCACGTAAGTTTCATTTTCTGCACTTGGTGTGCGTGTGTGGCCTGGACCGTTGGAAACTGAGGTGGGGGAGGAGGAGGAGAGCGCGAGGAGACACTGCGCGTGCGCAAATGGGGGAAGGTAGGCGACGGTGGTGCTGGAGTTGGGGTGCGCGTGCGTAGATGGTGGGAGGGGGGGTGAGCCAAGCGCTTGCGGCTGAGTGGTCGTGCGCATGCGGGGCCTTGCACGGAAGGTGAGGCGTTGTTCTGGCGGTTTTGTTTCCTCTCCTCCATGATTTTTCTGGCGCATCCGGCCTGTGCGCCGCTTCCCAGTCCCTTGAGTTAACGAATTTAACGTGTTCATTAAGGAGAAGGATTGCCTTGGCTTGACTTCAGATTGTTGGATGTTCTTGTATGGGAGTCGGTAGTAGGGCTGTGAGTAGCCTGGAGAAACAAGATGTCCTACCTCTTCAATAAAGGCTTGTTGGGCTTATTCACTTCAATGCTATGAAAACCTTCACCTGCCCATTTCCACACGTGAAGCCTCTGTCGAAGGAACAAGAGATTGGCACCTTTAGTAATAGGACACCATTCAGACAGGAACCTTAGGTCCTCCTGCTGTTGAAGCGAGGGCTGTGCATGTTTACTCATTTGCGAGTTCCATTGTATTCAGTGGGGTGAGTTTCCTGGTAACTGGGTACAACCCCACCCCACCCTCTGCATATTTACTTGGGAGGTATTCCTGGTGAGCACTTATTCCCAGATAGGTTGATATTATTAAATGCAGCATTTAATTATTGCTGGTACTTATGTTTTCAAAGTGGGAGTGGCTATTGCTGCTTTGTCTCCTGCTGTTGTAGTGGAGCAGGATAAGATCTTTTGCAGGGGACTCAAGCTAAGTTAATTAACAAGCAAGGAGCTTCCTGAACTAGCTCTAATACACTAAGCAATGTTTTGTTCCAGCGAACGATTCCTAGTTCTCACTGAGGTGGTCAGCTTGTATCTGAGCTGTATTGCTTGAGGCTGTGGGGAGGGCTCACAGGATGCAGTGTTTCTCCATGCAAGAGAGTTCCCTGCTCAACAGCACCAACAAACATAGATCTTTGTAATGCTAGGGTAGAATTCTTCCCTCAGATATCCCTCGTTCCTTGGTATAAAAGGAATTAGTTTGCTGTGGGAAACATTCCATCATGTGAGCCCCAACTCCGTAGTCTTTGAATGCTGCAGCCTCAAGACACAGGCTGTCTGTGTCAATGAGAAACAGGCTTCCATCAGCTGGATTTGAAACCGCTGTGCTCTCTGCCTAATATTTAGATAGGGATGTCTTCAGGTTTCTAGTTTAATGCATCATGGTAGAAATACTGCAGCTGAGAACTGCTGTTCATGCATACTAGACAAGTGTAGTACTCAAGTAACAAATGTGCATGGGTGAACTAGTGCCTGGAATCTAGCTTTCTGATGAAGTTATGTTGGAATAATTGAGTGGCTATTGAAATGAAAGAGCAGTTGTGTAAGACAGCATTGTCAAGGCTATTTTATGATGTAACTGTTAACTTCATTGTGTGAACCTTTTGGGATCTTGAGTTGTGTTTCTGTATTGGGTGAATGGGTTCTCAACCCTTGTTTATGTGAATAGGTTGGAAGAATCTAACATGCCTCTGTGGTTTGCGGACTATTTTATTGAGAAGAAACTGAAACAGGGAAGAGTATGCTATCAAGAGTCCCTTATGTGAAAAGGAGTGTTGTTTTAAATCAAATGTAAATATGGGTAGGGAGATGGAGTTTTTTTGAGAGTGTGAAAAGGAGTGTTTTAAATCAAATGTAAATATGGGTAGGGAGATGGAGTGTGGTTGAGTTGTTCCCTCATCTATGTATAGACACAAGGATAACTGTTCATTTCTGTCTGGATTGCAGTTTTTTCTTGTGCCTGAGTTCGGACAAGAAATACTTTTAATGGGGAAGGATCTATTTAGGCAAAACAAAATAAATTAATTTGTTCTTTTATCTTGGAGCTGTCTTCCCCATTGTGTGGAGGAAACAGTTGCTAACTAGAGTTAAGGTCATAAAAACACAGCCCATTAGAATTAAATTGTATGCCATTTTAAAAGAGGCTTCCTTTTTCTTAATGAGTTCCCTCTCCTGGAACATGCTTCTATTGTGAAAGTGGTCAAAAGTTTAACTTGTCTTAGCAAGGGGTATACCAAATGTGCAGTTGGCAGAGAGGTGAAGAATGAAATAGATCATTCCTCTGCTGCATTTCTTTACATGACACACTCCTGTTCTCAAACCAGTGACTGCTATTTTATCATTTTGGTGAAATAAGGTGGTTTCTATTCCTGTATGTCTTGTGAATGCCTCAAAGGGGACATTGCTCCATTGCTTTGATGGTGGAAAGTGCCATCAAGTCACAGCTGACTTACGGTGACCCAGTAGGGTTTGGGTTTTCAAGGCAAGAAACATTGCCGTTAATTGTCTCCATGTCATGATCCTGGTATTTCTTGGAGGTCTCCCATCCAAATGCTAGCCAGGGCTGACCCTGATTAGCTTCTGAGATCTGATGAGATTTGGCTAGCCTACGGCTATCCATTGCTTTAAGCAGGGGTCTTGTTGTAGAAAAAGAGCTGCCGGAGCTCATTAGCATAACTCATTAGCATAACTTATTTGCATATGCCACGCCCCCTGACATCACCGGAAGTGACAGAAGGCCACACCCCCTGACATCACCGGAAGTGTGTCAGAAGGCCCGGCTACTTACCCTCCTGCTTCATCCTCATTCCCAAACGGAATGAGGATTGAAGCAGAGGGCGGGGTAAAGAAGGGGGCGGGGCTTCACCACGTGACCGCCCCGCCCCCTAGAGGTTCTCTTCCGGAGCTCCGTACCTGAGAGCTCCCCCCCGACTAGAGCCCTGGCTTTAAGTATATTTATTCAAAGGAGTGGCAGTGGAGCACTTTAATCATAAAGGAGCTTAGGACTTAGTGCAATTCTACACAGCTATTTTGCTGTAAGCCTAGTCCATTGAAGTAACTGTAAAGGACTGCACTTTAGGAAAGGCAGAGAGAAGCAAATCTCAAACTGATGCCAAGGGGAGTAGGGGTGAGGAACTCATGTAACTTCAAAGATGATAGCTCTTCATACTTAAAACCAAATGTTCTGATTTCAATCTCAATAATTTCAATTTGATTCTAATTTAAAGTTAATTTGAAAGGTTTGACTACTGCACTCCAGAATCTGCCTGTGGCTGCAGAATAGGGTTGATGTTTCCATCTGTTAGTTGTGCAAATGCCTTGTTACTGTGTGGCCCAAGCAATACACCTGATAGAGCCCCAGATCACACCCCTTCAGGATCCCCCTGTCAGAGTCTTGTGCTTTGCAAGATTTGAAGGGAATTTCCCCCAGAATTTTCAGCTTTTCTGTATTTGAGCGGACGTTTTCAGGGTCCCATTTCACATTTAGTCATGACCCATATTGTTTCCAGTAATATTGCTTGAGCTGTCCACTGTACCTGCCTCTTCACAATGAAAGATCTGGCTCTTAGGTCTGTTACTGTGAATAAGCTAAACTGTTGGGAGGAGTGCCAAAGGAGAAGAATGATGAGAAGTTTGGGAGAGTTGAAATAGACAAGAGGATGCCTTGCACTGATTTGAGAACCGGTGCTCTGGTTTGTTGGGAAAGGAATACGCGACGATATTATGGTTGAATTGTTTTCCTGGGTATCCTGACAAGATGTGGCCTAGTCCCGTTTCCCCCCTGTAATGAATTCATATAGTTACTTTGATCCCAGAGTTTTTCTGCAAGATATAGCTGCTGTCTTTGACAGCCTCTGGAGGCCTGGCTAAATTTTAAATGTGGGTGATCTTATAGGCATTCTGTGTAACCATTTCTTCTCCCCTGAGGCAGAGGCCATCTTGTGGGTGATTCCCATCCATCATTCAGGGAGGCAGGAACAATTCAAACTTCTTGTTTCCTGTGGTGGGAGTCACCCCAGTCTCAGTTTTGTTTCCTGCCTCAGTAAGGAGAGCAGCTTGTTAGGTTAGCCTACCAACCTTTAACAGTTTTTTTCTTTTTACTTACTCTTGACTCGTTCTTTTTTCTAACTTCTAAATTCACTGCTAAACTTATCCTATCTTAATCTTCCCCTCCCTTCCTTCCCCTCTACGATTCGGGAATTCTATCTGCAGCAATTCACCATAGGCTGCATAAAACAAGTGTGACTCCTTAATATGGATCCCACGCAGACCAAGGATGGACTTTTAGCCACGCCAGAGCGTATTCTGGCCGGGTAGGAGCCTAAGGACGCCACGGAGGCGCCAGAAGAGCAAGGAGAGCCCGGCGCGGAAAAGGGCGCCGTGCTGCTCATGACCCATTTTGAAGCGATCCGGACGGCATGCTTCAAAAATTGTGGAGAGCCAATAGTGCGTACCCCAGCATGTTAAGCCAGCTGAAACATGAGCCATTTGGACGAGGACGCTGAAGAAGGAGACGACGAGGAAGATGAGGGTGAAGTATGCCATTACGGTTCCCCCTCTCTGTCTCCAGATGCGATGGCCTTTCTACAGAGGGCCATCAGGGAAGAGATGGCCCGTTCCAAGGAAGGGGGGAAGGGTTCCCGCCACAGATCTCCCCCTCCCCCCAACCACATGGCCCTGGGAAGACAAAGTCAGGGGATCATGGCCTACCAAGGCAGCTCAAAAGGGTTTCCCTACTCAGAAGGAGCTATATGATCCTCCTAAAGAGGACTGTATGTCCTTCAACTCTAGTGAGAAGGAGGAGGGGGAGTTTTCATCCGATGATGGGGAAGAGAGGGGAAAGAAAACTGCTTCATCAGAGCAGTCCTTTCGTTTTTTCAAGAGAGAAGATTTCCAATACTTATTGTCTAAAACCCTATCAGCCTTACACATTCAAAATACCCATCCCACAGCTAACAGAGGGGATGGCATAGCAGAGGAAGGCGATGAGATTACTGATGAGTTCTTTCCACCAGTG